CAAGCGTGTACCTGGATTACAAATGAAATCAAGGAGAAGGGGCAGGTCAACGGCAATTTGATTAATCAACAGGAGCAAACAACAAGTCACAACAGCTTAGAATTGATCTCAAAACCCAGGATTAATATGCAAATGACGTTCAACAATCCATACAACCAGCAAACACCAAATTTCGAACTCAAATAACCCCAAATTCAACTCGAAATTATAACCAAGTCACTTCTGACGTTTCAACAATTAGGTATTGAACCAGAAAATGTAAAGCAACAATTAGAAATCTAAAGTAACCTAAAGGTTTTCAATGTAACAATTTATTTTTTTTGGGATTTTTGAAAGTTTTCTGTTGTTTTTTTTGGTTTTTCCTCTCTATTTCTTGACTTTGAACTTGGAATTTCGAATTTTTAATCTGAAAGTTAGAGAGAGCAAACTGGGAAATTAGATGGCCCAAAACTTTTGGAATTTTCAGGGGTGTGTAACCTTGTAAATGAAGGTATTGGGGTTGCCTTTTATAGGCAAGAAATGGGGCAGAATGTTCTGGAGTAAAATCCCCCCTTTTTTATTTCAGAAATTAGCATATTAATCCTAAAGTTTTGACTTGTTACCCAAGTTACTGCATTAAGAGTGCAGAAACTTACACTAAGGCCCCCTTCTAGAAGGCCCTAGGGTGTTCTTCTACCTATAGAATACCTATACTACCCTTATTTTGGTTTTGAAATTACTATTCTTAATCAAAATAGCCCTTTTCCATGCCCAAACTACCCTTATTTGCCACCTGAAATTACTGACTCAAACAAACCCTTTACTTGAGTTAAAAATTAACTATAGTTAATCCTAGTGAATCTAAATCAACTATAACCAATCAACAAAACTAAAATTTAACTCTAATTAATACTAACTAACCTAAATGCTTTAGTTAATACTGACATTAGACTAAAGTAACCAACAATTAACAGAAAAAACGAACTAATAACTGATAAACAAACACTGAAATCATAAACTAAAATCATGAACTAGTAAACACGAATTAAACAAAAGATTGAAACTAAAAATAGAACATAATTATGAACTAAATCACAACTAATTCCAATAAAACGAGAATTAAACCAAAATAGTAAGAACAAATTAAAACTAAAAGAGATAGAATTAATTTTGAAAAGAAACTTACCGCTTTTAGTCTTCAATTGGGATTGACCCCGAATTTGGTTTTCGATTAATGTTATATGTTTATTTTATCCAAAAATAGACATATAACATGAATAAAAAACCAACAGAGTGCTTGAAACTCCAAAATGGGTGAAATCGGAAAACCCTAGATCTAAAATTGGAGAGGTTTCGTTGGGATTTGAAAGGTTTTGGCTTGGGATTAAAGATGAGGAGGGTTGGGAGAGTACAAGGTGGGAATTTGGTTGAATTTGGGCGAGTTTGCATTTTGGCCGGATTTTCGATCTAAAATTCGAAAAAATCGGCTAGGAATTGGAAGAAAAGGTTTTGAGAGTTGGAAAGAGGGGAGAAAGAGGATTCTAGGGTGTATTTTTGGGGTCGTTTGGAGTATCGCCGCCGGCGACAGCGATTTTCGGTGGCGGCGGACGGCGGAGGCACGACGGAGAAGGCGAGCGGTGGTGGTGTTACAGGAGACAAGGGTGCGTACGAGGATGATGGAGTTTGGTCTAGGGTTTGCTAAGATTTTTGGACAATTTTATGTAGAATCTATATTAATTGGGGGCCGTTGGATTTGAAGGTATGGACGGTCATGATCCATTGACATCAAAACGACGTCGTTTTGGGCGTCTCTGGACCGGATCAAGGACTGGGTTGGGGGTTGGTTTGGGCCAAAGGGTTGGGCGTGTATTTGGGCTCAGATTTTGTTCAATGTAACAGCCCAATTTCCTTTTCCTTGTTATTTAATTTCTTTTGTTTTCCCTTTCTTATTTATTTGTGTATTTTACTCATTATCTCTTTTTATTTTATTTTCTGAATTTATTATGCAAAAATAAAAATGACCCAAATTAAATCTAAGATGATACTAATTAACTAGTTCCTATTTTAAGAGGGAACTAAATCAAAAATGTAAAAAAAAAGTAAAATTTAAAATTGTAAAAGACTACTTTTTGTTATTTTTCTCTTATTTTAGTAATGCTAATTAACTACTATTTTTGTATCTTTTTTCATGAATTATGGCAACTAAAAGTGCACAAAAAAATGCAAACAAGACACAAAATCATGCAATGAGTTCCTAAAAATTTATATAATAAAGAAAAATCCTAATTCTAAGGAATTTATAGGAGTAATTTAAGCGTGGCAAAAATCACGCTCACAGCTGCCCCTCTTTGCTCGAAGACACGAAGGGTTTTTGGGCAAAGATAAATGAGCAACCATGAGAAATTTTTGCCTGCTTAGTACTCCATGAGAAGCATTTTGAAAACCGTCTGACCGAACCCTGCTTCAAAGGTTGCCTACATATCCTTGGCTATAAAGGAATCAGGTCAGTGTAGTTCTGGAGTGTCGGTAGCTGGGACTACCAGGAGCTTTGATTTTATTGCTGTTGTTGCTGCTACTGCTTGCTGACCTCCTTATTACACCAAAAGGAAAATCAAATCTAAGCTAGCTATGCCTAACGACTATGTGTTACAAGATTCCTATCTATAATTCTCTTGAAACTTGATCTTGAGTCTTAGCTGATTTTGCTGTGGACTTCGATCTGAATCTTGATGCTTGCAAGTTGTAGGTGTTTACTTCTTCATGCAGCATTGGGTCAAAAATAGGATCGGCGGAACTTGTGACTTCAATCAGATTTTGAGCAATCCGCACCCTTGCTTGCTTCATATTTGAGTTCATTTCTTTTGTTCTTTGCTTCTTTTCTTGATCATGGATTGAGACTCATTCCATTGATCATCTCGCACCCTGTGTCTTGAGGTCAACCTGCTTAAGATACCAAAACAAACAAACAAACGAAATTTTCTGCTCCAGTTTTCACTAGGAAAATTTCGTGAGTTAGTTGTGACAATATCTAAGCAATCAAATAGGGATTGTGTATCCTTATGAATGAATCCAGGTTATGCTAAGAAATGGCTGGGTTAGGCCGGAAAAGAAAAAAAGTCTCGGGTTATGCCGAAACGAAAGGAAAAAGGTCCTCAGGTTTTACCGGGATTTGGAAAGAGAAAGCTCATCGGTTTTTTGGGGGGGAGATCCTCGGTTTTGATCGGGATTTGGACAGAAAAAGCTCCTCGGTATTTTGGCCGAGAGATCCTCAGTTTTTGGCCGGGGTTTGGACAGAAAAAACTCCTTGGTTTTTGGCCGGGAGATCCTCGATTTTTTGGCCGGGATTTGTAAAGAAAAAGATCCTTGGGTTTTGCCAGGGAGATCCTTGGTTTTTGGCCGGGATTTGGACAGAAAAGGCTCCTCGGTTTTTTGGCTAAGAGATCCTCGATTTTTGGCTGGAATTTGGACAGAACAAGCTCCTCAATTTTTTGGCTCGGAGGTCCTCGGTTTTTGGGTCGGGATTTGGACAGAAAAAGCTCCTCGGTGTTTTGACCGGGAGGTCCTCGGTTTTTTGGCCGGGATATTTAAGGAATGGGATCCTATGCTACCCTGATTTTTTTTTCTTTTTGGGATTTTCATTTTTATTTCTTTTCTTCTTTCTTTTTCTTTGGTTTTCCTCTTTATATGTTTTCCTTTTATTTAGCAAAATGCCTGAAAGAATGTTGAGGAAACTTCATAAGGAATGGGTCGTTTACCTTTTTGTTAGTCGAAACGGTGGTTGGTTTTGTGGCCTTGATCATTCCCACCGCTTGATCCCGGCCCCATTTCCGTTGAGAATTTTGCTGCTTGTTGGTCATGAGGGTGAATCTCTTTTCACACTGACTGGGTTCAGCCTTTGGATTTCATGATGACTTGCCCGTGTGGGCTCTAGCCTTTCTACCTTCTTCTGCTTTTAGGACCTTTGCCTTTGATTTTCTTTCTTTTCCAATGTCTTTTACTTTGGAAGCAATCAACCACCATGGTCAGTCGGGATTGGACTGACACACCACTGAGGCTGGGTATTTTCTTCGACTCTTGCCAGGCAGAGCCCTGTGAAACCGATCCTGCCACCTTTCTTTGTAACAGTTTCGGAATTCAGAGTTAAGCCGAAAGGGATTCAATGAGAAGTAAACAGAGATCAGGATAATGGATTTTAAATAGAAGCGTCCCTTTCGGGTGAAAAGAAGGACTTATCTGGGGTGCATACTGGCTTCAAACTGACATGACATGCTTCTTGAACTGGATGCCCGACCCGCACCAACTTCCAGCTTCTCATGAACCCATTGATCCGTGTTTCCAAACCAGGGAACCTTGCCAAGATTTTTAGTGATGAAATATCCTCTTTTCGGCCGACAGTGCCCTTTGCGGGTTTTCGCTAATCGACCTCTCTCATTTCTCTTCTCACCGTCGTCCGATAGTGCTCTTTACGAGTTTTCACTAAGCGAACTCTCTCATTTTCAATTTCTCTGCTCCTGTCGCCTTATGGTGCCCGAAGGTTTTCACCGATAAGACTCTCTCATTTTATTTCTCTCAGTTTAGAATGCATCGGCTTTCAACAATGATGTTCCTTAGTTCCTACGCCTTTGGCAATTGATCAGAAGGACTTGTACCGGGTTTTGGAAAAGAGATTTTTGGGCAAAATTACAACTTTGGAACTATTTAGATGGGTTCATGGACGAACCATTATAACATCTGCCCCAGTTTCAATTTCGGGGAAATATGAATTTTGGTTTTGGTGTGACTGAACCCCAGAAAGAGGCTGCCTACGTATCCTTTCAGAATCAAGTCAGACGTAGTTCAAATAAATAATTTTTTTTGTATTTTTTTTTCTTTTTTGTACTTCCGGGTTCCAAAGAGGGTAATCAAAGAAAAACAACCGGCTCAAATGGGTTTGCAAATGTTTAGTTTGGGTAGCGGGAACAAAAGCCTTCGTCATCTCAATTGTGCAAAGACGTCACCTGAAGCAAGCTTAGACATAGTACCTTTTTACTGCATCCGCGTTCACAGCTGCTTCGGGATCGTTTCCTTCAATGTCACCCAAGTATAATGCTCCTCTGGGCAATATTTTTCTAATGATATATGGACCCTTTCAGTTAGGAGCAAACTTTCCTTTTGCTTCCTGATGATGAGGAAGAATTCACCTCAATACCAACTGCCCTACTTCAAATTTCCTGGGCCGTACTTTCTTGTTATAGGCGCGGGCCATTCTTTGTTGGTACAACTGCCCGTGACAAACTGCGGCCATCTGTTTCTCATCAATCAAAATCAACTGTTCCAATCGAGTTTTAACCCATTCACTATCTTCGATCTCTGCTTCAACAATTGTCCGGAGCAAAGGAATTTCCACCTCTGCAGGTAGCACAGCCTCGGTTCCATAAACCAGCAAATACGGTGTTGCTCCTACCGATGTGCGCACTATAGTGCGATATTCCAGTAAGGCAAAAGGTAACTGTTCATGCCACTGTCTGGAGCTCTGGATTGTCTTTCTCAAAATCTTCTTGATGTTCTTATTCGCTGCTTCAACAGCGCCATTGGCCTTGGGCCGATAAGGAGTAGAGTTTCTATGCGTTATTTTGAACTGTTCGCATACTTCCTCTATCAAACGACTGTTCAGGTTCGCAGCATTGTCTGTGATAATAGTTGCAGGAATGCCGAAACGACAAATAAGGTTCGAGTGTACAAAATCCACTACAGCTTTCTTAGTGACTATTTTGAGAGTGATGGCCTCGACCCACTTTGTGAAGTAATAAATAACAACCAATATGAATCTGTGCCCATTTGAAGCTTTCGACTCGATCGGACCAATGACATCCATACCCTAGGTGACAAAAGGCCAAGGCGCTGACATGGGATGTAATTCTGTTGGAGGTGCATGAATCAGATCTCCGTGCACCTGACACTGATGACATTTTCGGACAAAGTTGAAGCAATCTTTTTCCATAGTTATCCAATAATACCCGGCTCGAAGTATTTTCTTTGCCAGGACATACCCGTTCATATGAGGTCCACACACTCCTGCGTGTACTTCCTGCATGTTTCTTCTAGCTTCCTCAGTGTCAACACATCTCAATAAATTGAGATCCGGGGTTCTTTTATACAAGACCTCACCACTCAAAAAGAAACCACTCGCATGCCGCCTAATGGCCCTCTTTTGATCTCCAGTAGCATGTTCGGGGTACTCTTGTGTTTTCAAAAACCTCTTTCTATCATGGTACCATGGCTGGACGTTTGGCCTTGCTTCAATTGCATTACAGTAAACATGCCTTTCCCTGATTTGGATTTCCAAGGGATTGATGTGGGCATTTCTTGGATAAGGCAACATCGAGGCTAAAGTAGCAAGTGTATCAGCTAGCTCATTGTGGCACCGAGGGATGTACCTGAATTCTATCGATTTGAATCGTTTGCCGAGATCTTCCACGTGCTGCCGATAAGGAATAAGTTTGACATCTCGAGTTTCCCACTTTCCCTAGGCTTGTCGGATAATCAAATATGTATCCCCCATGATCAATAAATCTTCAACATCTTGGTCAATCGCCATATTCATGCCCATGATGCAGTATTGTTCGTGCAGAAGAACCGGAGCCTAGCTGTAGCCGGATAATGCTGACCAGTATGTGAGATCAAGATTGCCCCAATACCTACACCTTTGGCATTTACTGCCCCATTGAAGAACATTTTCCAAGCATGAGTGTCCTCAGGGACTACTTCTATTGTGTTTACCTCTTCATCTGGAAAGTATGTGCTCAACGGTTGGTATTCTTCGTCAATCGGGTTTTAGCCAAATGATCTGCCAATGCCTGGGCTTTCATTGTCGTGCGAGTAACGTAGACTATGTCAAATTCAGTGAGCAAGATTTGTCATTTTGCTAGTCTTCCAGTGGGCATCGGTTTCTGGAATATGTACTTCAAAGGATCCAACCTGGTTATGAGATAAGTAGTATGAGCTTGAAGATAATGTCTCAACCTTTGAGCAACCCAAGTCAAGGCACAACACGTTCTCTCCAACAAAGTATATTTGGCCTCGTAGCTAGTGAACTTCTTACTCAGATAGTAAATCGTTTGATCTTTCTTGCCGGCTATATCATGTTGCCCGAGGACACAACCAAAAGAATTCTCCAACATTGTCAGATACAAGAAAAGAGGTCGCCCAGACTCTGGTGGGACCAAAACTGGAGGGTTCGACAGATATTCCTTGATTTTATCGAAAGCCTCTTGACATTCAGATGTCCATTTGATTGCTGCATCTTTCTTCAATAGCTTGAATATGGGATCACATGTGGTAGTCAGTTGAGCAATGAACCGACTGACATAATTTAACCTGCCCAATAAACTCATCACGTCTTTCTTAGTTCTCGGAGGAGGTAGATCTCGGATAGCCTTTATCTTTGTTGGATCTAACTCGATACCTCTCCTGCTGACTATGAAGCCCAGAAGTTTGCCTGATGGGACTCCGAAGGCATATTTAGCCAGATTCAGCTTCAAATCATACTTGCGTAACCTTTCGAAAAATTTCCTCATGTCTCGAACATGATCATCCTGAGTTCTGGACTTGATAATCATGTCGTCCACATACACCTCTATCTCTTGATGCATCATATCATGGAAAATGACAGTCATAGCTCTCATATAAGTTGCCCCGGCATTCTTCAACCCAAATGGCATGACCCGATAATAATAAGTGCCCCAGGGTGTAGTGAAAGCTGTTTTCTCGGCATCTTCTTCATTCATCAACACCTGGTGATATCCTGCATAATAATCCACAAAGGACTGTATCTCGTGTTTGGCGCAGTTATCAACAAGGATGTGGATGTTGGGCAAAGGGAAATTGTCTTTAGGACTTGCCCTATTCAAATCTCGGTAATCCACACACACCCGGGTTTTCCCATCTTTCTTTGGCACGGGAACTACATTAGCCAGCCACATAGTATCCTGGACCACCCGGATTACCCCTGCTTTCAACTGTTTTGTGACTTCTTCTTTGATCTTATCACTGATATCAGTCTTAAACTTTCTTTGTTTCTGCTGAACCGGAGGACAATCAGGGTAAATTGGCAATTTATGCACCACTAGATCGACACTCAATTCTGGCATATCATCGTATGACCAAGCAAACACATCTTTAAACTCAAACAGAAGTTGAATTATTGCATCCCGCATTTTCTCATCAGTGTGAATGCTTATTTTTGTTTCCCGAATTTCTTCAGAGGTTCCCAAATTAACCGGTTCTGTATTATTCAAGTTCGGCTTAGGTTTATTCTCAAATTGTTCCAGTTCTGGATTTATTTCCCTAAAAGCCTCTTCTTCATCATATTCTGGTTCTTGGTTCATGATTTCACAATTAGATAGCGTGTTTGGATCTGGGTGTGAAGTCCGCAAGCATGTCATATTATTTAAAGCCGCATTATTATAACTAAAAAGTAGAAATAAAAGAGAAAAATAGCAAAAAATCAGAAAGAATAAAGAGAATAAACGATGAAATATTGATTTCGTTTCTTGGGATTGGGAAGATAACAGGGTTTACATTCAGGAATTTAAAGACAGGAAACTTAAAGAACAAACATCCGAGTCACACCCTGGGGTAACTCGTGATGCAGAAAAGGTGGCAGGACAAGTCTACCCGAACTCCCGCCTGATCGGGAATGGCGTAGCCTTCCAATTTTGGAGTTTAGCATCTGGTCCCATGTAGAGCACCTCAGCGGTGCTAGTACCTTCCCCTAGCTGAACCATGTTGGTTTCATAAAGCATTTGCCTCATAGCTCCACATATATCTTCGATTTCTTCGGCCATGAAGGCCTCGCCATCTTCATTCTCGCTGTATTTTGGCTTGACAAAGGTCTGATATAATTGTGGCAATGGCTTTGGCAAGGCCCATCCTTCCCTTTTCCTCTTGTCTGCCCAATCTTCATCTTCTGGGGTAGGGTGTAAACCTATCCCGAAAAACTTTTCTGTTGTGGGTAGGGTTATTGGCTCCGATATTCCTTGTAGAGCTTTTCCCAATCCTTTTCTTGGCTTGAAACCATGTTTGATCATTTATTTTTCCACCATGATCGAAGCATTAGATAGGAAAGGTTGGGGGCAAGGGCTCCCCTCTTCGTACTGATCCGCCACTACAACTTCGAAAGCCTGATAAATAATGTTTTCACTTCCCTCCCTAGCCTCCAAACATGGGATAGATGGGTCCCGATAAATAAACTGCTCGTCTTCTCCGTGGACCACAATTTCCTGATCTTCATACTAGAACTTTACCATTTGGTGAAGGGTGGAGGGCACAACCCCCGTGGCATGGATCCAAGGCCTTCCTAGAAGAAAGTTGTAAGATGTATCCATGTCCAACACTTGGAAGGTCACCTCGAAATCCACCGAGCCTATGGTTAATACTAGATCTATCTCTCCGATGGTATCCCTTTTAATGCTATCAAAGGCTCTTACATAGATGTTATTGCGACAAATCTTTCCAGTCCCGATTTCCATTCTCTGCAGTGTAGAGAGTGGACAAATGTGAACACCCGAACCCCCATCCACCATTACTCGCTTGACATAAAAACCTTCACACTTGACAGTTAGATGTAAAGCTTTGTTGTGAGCCGCTCCCTCTGGAGGCAAATCATCCTTACTAAAGGAAATTTGATTAACAACAAAGAACCTTTCTGCCATTCTTTCGAGCTGTTCAACTGAAGTCTCAGTAGGCATATACGCCTCATTCAGAGTTTTCACTAGGGTCTTCTGATGCTTTGCAGATCTTACTAACAAAGATAGCATAGGCACTTGTTCAGGGTACTTGCGTAACTGATCCACCACTTCATAATCAAACATCTTCATTTTTTGGAAGAAAGCCTCTGCCTCGTCAGCACTTATAGGCTTCTTGGGTGGAAAGCGCTTCTGTGTGGCATTGTTCACTTCTTGTACATCTGAATATTTACCAGCGAAGGTATTTCCCAGAAGTTCTTCTATGATTTCTTTACCTTTGTATGTAACCAACGTCTGTTGATAATTCCATGGTACCGCAGACAAGTCCGTCATTGGCTTCTATGGCACGCGTCCGATAACCACTGGATCATTCAGCCGAGGCGGTTTAATCGTCCCCCGGACCACATAGGCTCCTTTTGGCACATACATTGGTGTTCCCTTTTTCACTTCAAATTTCTTTGGAATACCCACGACTAATGGCTTTTCTTGGCGACCTCGCGGAATATAGAGAACCCCATTTTTCGAGGGCGCCATCTCTGCCTTTGTTTCCACCTTCTTTTCAAGTTCAATCTTGACAGTTTTAGTCTTATTTCCCCCTTTCTCCTGCTTCGGGGTTGCTTTAGGCTTTCTTTCTACATCAGCAATTGCAATTATAGCTTTCAAGGCGGGATCAAACTCTTTGTCTTCATAGATCATCCCGATTACTGGCCCGTTGTTATGAGCGGGCAATGGATTATTGGTCACATTCGGGGCTTCTTCATCCCTCAACACTATTTTTCCTTGTTCAATCAAATCTTCCACAGCTTTCTTCAAGGTCCAGCAGTTATCAGTACTATGCCCCTCAACTCCTGAATGATAAGCACAGTGGACACCTCGTTGGTAAGCTGGAGATTCCGGATTCTGCCTATTTTGGGGAATAGGCTGCAACAAATTCATCTGGACAAGCTTAGGGAACAGGGTGGAGTAGGGTCCACCGATTGGTGTAAAGTTGGGCCTCCTGGATGGTTCCCGGGGGCGAAAGTTATTTTGTGGTGGTCGGGGATTATATTGGTTCTGGTAAGGAGGTTGGTTTCTTTGGAATGGAGGTGAATTTCGGTTGGCTTGTGGTTGCGATCGGCCGAAAGGTTGAGCATTCATGACCGCATAAGGTGGGGGAGCGTAGGCCATATCATTGTGAGGATAGTAGTGTTGAGGTGTTCTTTTGGAGAACACCGGTCTAGGATCCCGGTATCTCCTTCCTCCTGACGCTGCCATGGCCGTTTCTTCTTTCTTTTTCCCTTTGGCCATTCCTCCAGACCCGCCTTGGATGGTTTGGGAGGTCGCCCTTATGGTTGACTGGCTCAAGATTCTACCCATTTTCAGACCATTTTCTACCATTTCCCCGATTTTAATTGCTTCTGCAATAGGCTTTCCCATGGCCGGCATCATATTCTGGAAGTAATCAGGCTCTTGGGCTTGAAGGAAGACAGTGACCATCTCTACCTCATCCATTTGAGGCTTCACTCTTGATGCTTGTTCGCGCCACTTAATGGCGTATTCTCTGAAGCTTTCTGAGGGCTTTTTCCTTAGATTTGTCAAAGAATTCCTATCCAGTGCAATGTCTATGTTGTACTGAAATCATCAAACAAAATCTCTGGCAAGATCGTCCCAAATGTGCCATCAAGATATGTACTGATCCATATACCACTCTGAAGCTATGCCGATTAAGCTTTCCCCGAAATATGCCATCAACAATTCTTCTTTGCCACCGGCCCCCCGTAACTGATTGCAATACTTCTTCAAATGAGCAATGGGGTCACCGTGCCCATCATACTTTTCAAATTTTGGTGTTTTGAACCCTGACGGCAAATGTACATGCGGAAACATACACAAATCTGTATAAGAGACACTCTTTGGCCCGCTCAAACCTTGCATGTTCTTTAAGCTCTGTTCAAGGCTTCTCATTCTCCTGGCCATCTCATCTTGCTCTGGGGATTTAAGGGTTTTGTCTTGCCCCGGTGTAAACTCATATGGTGGTGGCTGAGGGTAAGCATATATGGAGTATGGAGGAAATTCGGGCTGGTAAGTAGGGGTTTGATAAGTGAAGGCCGATGGATCAAACACAAGCCTTGGGACTGCGGGTTGTGTTGTAGCAGAAGATGGTGGAGCAGTGAAGATGTTTGGAGCTGTCCTGGGTATGAATGCCTGGGGCCGGACCTCAGAAGTTGCTCCCACGAAATGAGCGGATATAGTAGAATGTCCTAGCGAGATGTTCGGGTGGCTGATGGGAATGTTAAAGGTACCTATTGGTTTTGGGAACAACTCGGGAAATCCAGGGATGACACTCGGGGGTTCTTTTCCATTTGTCCATGCGTCCCACATCTCCATTACCCTCAGACGTAAGATTCTGTTTTCTTCGGCCACTATGGACTCTAAGGTCGGGATGCCCGAGAGTGGGCTATCTTCCGAAATAGGGATTGTTGGCAGGGTCATTTCTGACGACATTTCTGTATTACCTTTAGATCTGGTAAAGTAGTGGTGCAAAGCCAGTTTACCACAAAACCAACCACCTGTTTCTATAAACCTGACTGGAAGTGACAGCGGCAAATGGTTAGTTTGAGATAAATAACAGATAGGTAATCGCACATTGGGGCGTGATGCACCTACACAGTTAAATGGACTTTTACATGTTTTGCTCGGTTGCATGCGTCATCCCGGCTTTCTTTTGTTTTTCTTTTGTTTTCTCTCACTTTGTTTTCCCTCTGTTTTCCTTATTTTCTGCTTTCCCTTTTCCTTTTGCCATGGTTTTTCCTTTGATTTTTCTTCCACTCTTTTGTTTCTTTTGTTTTTCCTTTATTTTCTTCCCTCTTTTTTGCTTTTCTCTTTATGGTTACGGTCGAATCTGATGAGGATTGCCTACGTATCATGACCCCGCACGAATCAGACCAAGTGTAGTTCGTGAAAATTAAATGCGAAAGATAAAGAAACAATTTTTGGGAGTTTTCAATTTTCATTACTAAAACATTCTTTTACAAACTAAACATTTTTGAAAAGGGAACTAATAGACTCAAAATAAAGCCAAATACAGACTCAAAAACTACTGATGCGAAAAGGAAGCCGACAAACAGACAACAGACTCTAAAACGGAAAATACAGACTCGAACTATGAGTACATTAAAGCTTCAAAAATGGGTACCCGCGGGGCGTCGTTCGGCCTCGCCGCGGGCTTAGGTCCGAGATCCCTTTCAAGTTGCTCCAGTTCATACATTGTTCGCTTGACATAAATCATTATGGATGAAAAGAAGGTAGTGCGGGTCATGTCTTCACACAGTCAACATCTCTTAATGATGGCATAGGCAATAGTCTCAATCTTGTCCCTGGTTCGACCTTTTTCTATGAGCAAACGCCTTATTTGATCATTACGGGCCTCCAAAACCTGAGAATCCTGAAGATGCTGTCTCTGCAGCTGCTGTATTTCTACTTCCATTCGG